TCATCCTTGATAATGGCTAAAAGTATAGCTGAAAGCACTTAAAATTTAAGAACATTTAGACAGTACACTCTGTGTCCATAAAAGAAAACACTTCTTCAGTCACAAGTAAAATTAAATAAAAAGGTTAATTGTAGTACTTTGTCTGTCATTTTTAATGAAATGTGCATATATATATATATATATATATATGATCTGAGATCAAATACATATCAGAATCTGACAGAATGATTGGATAAAGAATAAAACTGAAATGTTTATCAATATAACATATTTTACTTTTATTAATAATTCTCTCATGCTTTATAAAAGTGAAAGATGTTAGATTAATAGACATTTCTAATTTGTTCTTTATCCTATATATATATATATATATACATATATATATGCACAAGGTCTGATCAAGAAGTATCGAGACTTTTACTATTCTAACAGAGTGAAAGTAATACAGAGTTGAGTTGCTTGGTACAGAGTGACCTTCAATTCTGTCAAACATACATACTAAGTTATAACATTCTTACCCATTTCCATTGTTTAGAGCAGTGCTTGGAAGGAAAGTGTGTAGAGTGTGGTCAGCTCGCGACACCACAGAGGTTCCATCCATGAACATGGATTGTGCAAAAGTTGGTCTGACAACCTCTATATTCCTCAGATCTCAGACCTGGTGCTTTTTGCTCTTTCCAAAAATCAAATCTCACTTGAAAGGAACAATGTTGAGGAAACCCAAGAGCTGTGATAGGGCAGCTGCTCACTATCCCAAAAAGGAGTTCCAGGAATGCTTCCATCACTGGAAATGTCACTGGATAAAGCGTGTGGCTTCAGAAGGAGACCTCTTCAAAAGAGATTAAATACTAAAATGATATATGTTGTTATTTTTCTTTTTCTAGCACCAATTCTGATACTTTTTGATCAGACCTCATACATACATATATATATATATGCATACATATATATATATATATATATCTTATATAATATATATATATCTTCAAGTATAGGGCTGGTGTATATGGAATAAATTCCAATAACCAAAAATGCTATTCTTAAATGAGTGCTCAATACAGAGTAGAGCAAATATAATTTATTTGAAAATTAAAACATAAACATGTTATAAAATCACTACAAAAATAGCCATTTTGATTCAACACTTCTGGTGTCTTATTAAATGATTGTGTTGAATGTAGAATAAAAGGGTTTTAAAAGGTTAAAACCCTTTATTCTACATTCAACACCATCATTTGATAAGACAGCAGAAGTGTTGAAACAAAATGGCTATTTTTGCAGTGGTTTTATAAGATGTTTATGTTATAATTTTTAAATAAATTTTATATATATATATATATATTCAACTCTCCCGTCGAATTCGACATTTGAGGGTCAAGCAGATCAGTTCCCAGGAAACCGACAGCCTGACAACAGCACATGAGAAGTGATTATAGTTGTGAACGTTTCATGCAGGACCATCCACACTTTTTGAAGGGACAAATGCAGAGACCTGGTGCACTAAGTGCCACAAGGTCCCCAAACAACAAACAACCCTCCGCAGGTTTAGAATTCAGAGTTGTCCTTCTCCTAGGCTGGTTGCCATCCAAGGCTATAGAACCCAGTCTGTCCTGCTATTTACCCATAGCTGGAGGGAGAAGAGGATTCACACCTTTCCCAACGGTGTTAGCTCATAAGTGAATGTAACTGGATTTGACTGGAATTGAACTCTGCTCTCCAATTACTCAATCCAAGCCGCTATCCATTATTCCACTGGGCCTATATATATATATATATATATATATATATATATATATATATATATATATATATATATATATATATATAAAAGGCATGTGTTGTTAAAAGATTATGAAACTTTTCCATTTTATAATCCTTTTTCTGTTTTTTTTTCTTGCTTTATCACAAGTTTTTTTTATATTTGGGACAAATTTGTTGAGATAAGGCCCTAGTGATTTTCTGAGCACTTTTGTTTATTGTTAAATTTCGTCATGGCTGTATGTTTTGATTTGAAATAGGTTGCTTATTATTTTAGTTTTATAGATAACTGAAAGTGCTCAGCAAAACAGCATAGACTAGGATCTTATTTCTACCACTTAGACCCAAATATAAAAAACTTGCGCGAAAACAAGGAAGAACACAAAAGAAGATTATTAAATGCAAAAGTTCCGTATTCTTTGACAACAGATGCCTTTAATAATGACATGCTACCAATATATATATATATATATATATATATATATATATATATATAATGTTTGTGTCTGTCATTTTCTATGAATGATTATTTTTTGAGATCAACCAGATGATAAAATAGCTAAACATTTACTTAATGATGATTTGGCCCCAAACACAGTGAAGTGAAATGTGGTGCTCTTGGAATAAGTGTTTAACTTTGTCCTTTCCCTGCTTCCTGATTTTGACAAAAGATTGTCTCTTTGGAAAGAATGGCAGTGAGGATAACATAGATAAATGTACATCAGTAGTTTACCTTCTTTATCTTAACCTGAGGCAATTCCAATCTATTTTTCCATTTTCTTGGACTGAAAAAAAAGAAAAAAATTTACCAAATTTTCACTTTATTTTTATGATTTATTTATTTGACTACTTTCATCTGAAGTTGGCTTGCATTTATTTCTTTATATATTTGCTTTTGCAAGAATTTTATTTCCAAATGTTTCTTGTTTTCTAAATTATCTTTTGGTATTCAATTTCTGCTATATCTCTATGCCATTTTTTTACTGTTTTTATTTTTTTTTAAAGATAACTTAGGCCATACTGCTCGGGTCACCAATTTTCCTCTCAATTTTACAGTATCTATTTCTCTTTTTCACAAGCATTTATCTCTCTTTCTTTCTCTCTCTAGAGCACAAATTTCCTCTCTCAATCTTTCTTTCTTTTTCTTAGTCTCTATCTGTCTCTCTAGAGTACAATTTCTTTCTTTTTCTCTTTCTCTCTTTCTCTCTAGAGCACAGATTTACTCTTTATCTCTCTTTTTTAGAATCCTCAAATTTCTCTCTCTCTTACTCTATCCCTCAATTTTTTCTCTCTCTCTAGCCCTCTATTTCTCTCTCTCTCTTTCTAGCCCTCTATTTCTCTCTCTCTCTCTCTCTAGCCCTTTATTTCTCTCTCTCTCTCTAGCCCTCTATTTCTCTCTCTCTCTCTCTCTAGCCCTTTATTTCTCTCTCTCTCTTTCTAGCCCTCTATTTCTCTCTCTCTCTTTCTAGCCCTCTATTTCTCTCTCTCTCTTTCTAGCCCTCTATTTCTCTCTCTCTCTCTCTCTCTCTAGTTCTCTATTTTTCTCTCTCTCTTTCTCTTTAGCCCTCAATTTTTCTCTCTTTTTTTCTCTCTTTCTGTCTCCCTAGCCCTAAATTCCCCGCCTCTCTCTAGCCCTTAAATTTCTCTCTTGTCCTCATACTCAAAGTTCTCTCTCTACCTATCTCTGTTGCCATCAAATTTTTTTCTCTCTCTCTCCCTCTGGTGTGAAAGGTTATTTCACTCTCTCTTGAGCACAAATTTTCTCTCTCAATCTTTATAGTGCTCAAATTTCTTCTTAGTCTGTGTCTGTCTCACTCAAGAGTACGATTTTTTTCTTTCTTCTATCTCACTCTATAGAGCACAGATATACTCTTTATTTCTCTTTTTTTGAGTCCTCAAATTTCTCTCTCACTTTATCCCTCAATTTTTTTCTCTCTCACTCTATCCCTCTATTTCCCTCCCCCTCTCTCTCTCTCTCTCTAGCCGTCATTTTTTTCTCTCTCTTTCTCTGGCCCTCAATTTTCACTTTCTCTCTAGCCATCAATCATCTCTTTCTTTCTAGCCATCAATTTTTCTCTGTCTCTCTAGCTGTAAATTTTCCCCTTCTCTCTCTAGCCCTCAATTTTCTCACTCTCTCTAGGGCTTAAATTTCTCTCTTGTCCTTGTTCTCAAAGTACTCCATCTCTTCTCTCCCCCCCCCTTTCGCCATCAAATTTTTCTCTCTCCCTCTCGTGTAAAATGCTATTTCTCTCTCTCTCTCTTTTGCTCTCACCATCCCAATCAGTTTTCTCCCTCTCTCGCTCTAACCCCACCCGACTCCTGTAGGTTTTTCATCTTTCTCTGCATTTACAAATTCATTAGACTGAACAAACACCTGCCGGGGGAAAAAAAAAACAATTTTTTTTTCTAATCTGTTTTTATTTGCTGCTCAAGTGAAACTTTTCAAGAAAAACGTTTTCATAGAATTTTTAAAAAATAGAGAAAAAAAAAAATTGATGGAAGAAATTTCCTAAATAAATACATAAACTTTGGAATTGGGGGTGTTAAAAAGATGTTTTTAAAAAGAATTTACTACTTGCTGATCAGAGTTCACTGGAAAGGCAGATAACATTTTCTCACTCACTGCTCAATAAATATGGCTTTGTATCATCATCCACTCAGAAATTTGAAATGCTGTAAATTTATAAACACACACACATACACACAGTGTCTAACACTTTTCACAAAGCTCACCAATACTTGGATTTGGGGCATAACTGCCACTCCATCATAAATTAATTCACTTTTGACTCATACTCTGCAGCTATGTAAATAATTCTTTTTAAATGTCCAGATAAAAAATGGGAGATCCATTTTTATATATTAATAACAGTTAGATGACAGATTTCCAGGGACACTGTTGGTCAGATTGAAAAGGTATATATTAAATAAATGGCAAATTCTGTCTGTCCCTCCATTTGTCTATTTCAGGCTACACTTGGTCTATATAGACTTTATATCTTTATGGAATCAGGATGATCCCAGGATTGAAAATATGCCCTTCATCTGATGCTTGAACATCCAGAATTGGGATTTATGTCCGGATGAGGAGGGAACAGTTAAAAGTTCAAATTTTAAAATACCTGAAAAAAAATTTAAAGTAGCACAAAACCTTTTTGAATTTTAAATAAAATATCTTTATTCAGTTTGAGATATCACTAAAACTGTGAATTGAGGAAATCAATTTCCTTTCTTCAAAATGCCAAGGAATCACAGCTAAAGGCTGTGATGTAAGGTTTTGAAATTTGCAGGGTTTGTAATTTGAAGAACTTAACTCAATTGAAGTTCTACGGAGTTTGTGATTTGATGAACACAATATTCAGCCTGAATTGAAATTTTTGTCCAAATCAGAGTTCCAGCCCAAATTGGTCCTTTTGCAGGAATTGGATTTACAGCCTGAATTGAGGTTTTTAATTTTGATGGCCTGAATCAGAGTTCAAAAAACTGTAGAGGTGCTGGAGGCCAATTTTAACTTAAAAGGTGACACAGATGCAGAGTAGTATTAATAAAATAATTGTAACAAAGGAATTTAAAGTTGATAGTTGCTTAACAAAGAGGAAAACTATCCAGTGGCATTTGACAATCATCTTTTTTTCTTTTCTATTTGGAGTAGAGGTGCTGGATGGGCCAAAATTTCTTATCCTTTGTAACTCTTAGGATATTTAGTCTTTTTGCTATCTCTCCTAAACCTTGTTTTGCAACCCACTATGAGAATTTAAGCGTGCTACTAGACTGGCATCTAGGTCCCAGCTAAGCTTATGTTATTTAAAAGGTGACATTTTTTTAAAAAATCAAGCCAAACTTGCCGAAAACTAAATTTTATTGTCTAAATGCAGTTATTTTTAGAAGAAAGCCAAAGTTTTTTTTAATTATTTTAAAAAATTTTGATTAAAAAAATAAAATAAATCAGACAATTTTTAGCACGTTTTTTTGGTATGACAACATTAATTTGAAAAATTGCAAAATAGAAATAATTATCGGATGTTAATGAAACTTTCAGGAACCACAGATGATCGAAATTAATTATGTTTTTTTATACATGAACTAATTTTTTGAAAGTGAAAGGTCGGTTTTAGTGATTACAATAATTAACAAAGGCTTTGAGGAATGCAAACTATCCAGTGGCATTTAACATACAAAACTCAATAAAACAAAGATATTATTTAATTTCAAATGCTTTTATTTGCTTTTAGTTGTTTTTTATTTGGACAATATTTTCTGAAAGCAAAAAATTTTTCTTTTAATACAATTATTTGTTATTTCATTAATTATAATACATTTTACATTTAAGTTGTTAAAATATTATAAAATTAGTTATTCCTTTCATAAGGTCATGAGATAGATCTTTTTTTTGATCACATTTGACTAATTCCAGTAATTAAGAAATGTAATTTCTTAATCCTGTAATTATAAAAATACGGAAGACCAAGCAGAATATAATTAAGTTCGTTATTTGAGTTAAATTGTTCTCTTAGGATATTTAGTCTTTTCAACTGAGAAGGTTACCTCAAGTATCAGTATCATCTTATGAAATTTTTGATCTTACTTTTTTAATCTCAGTTTACATTTTTCCATAAATGAAATATCAAAATTAATAATAAAATGAATGCGTGCAAATAACAGTAGACTGTAATAAATGTACATAAAATTATATATTTTATGTCCAACCCTTTTACTAAGAAAGGTACCTATAAATTAAATACCTTTCTTAAGAAATATGAAATTTAAACTCTTAACAGTTTTATTTTAATTTCTTTAGAATAATTTCCCATAAAGCATCATAAACGTAAAGGTGAAAGCTCCAACAAGTTTTTTTCAGGGGTAAATAATTTGTTCACACATTTCAAGTAGAACAAATTAGCCTCATGAAAGGAATCATTCATCACATGTCCCAGTTTTGACCCTTTGTTTTATTTTCTTACATCCACAAAAGCTAAGTTAAGTTTGGTTCAAAATATTTTAAATAAACATTATAATTTCTGATTTTCTTAAAATAAGTTTTGAAAAAATGATAATTGATATTTAAAAAAAAGATTTCCAGTTTTTTTTTAAATGGAAAAAAATGGTCAATTTTGACTCAAAAAAACTAGATTTTTCGAAAATTTTGATTAAAAATGGAAAAAAATACCCCAAAAATACTTTACCTTTTCTCTTTTAACAAACATTTTCGATAAAATCCCCTCCCTTTTCATCATCTATGCTCTTTTTTTTAGCGATCTCACTTTCACTTTTACTGTTGTAAATACCCCTGTCCAACATTTTCTTTTCTGATATACCTGGAACTTCCTCCCATTTGGGGTGATAAATCAAAACTTTAAAAAAAAAACATTGATTCATTTCTTTTAACCTTTCTTTTTACAGCTTATCAATCCCCTGTTACAGTTTATTGATAAAAAAAGCCATTGATTCAAATTATTTTTTTAGACCCTTTAAGAATTTTTTTCTGATAATAATGGTTTAGTGATACAAGTTTTGGAAGAATTGTTAACATTGTTCGGGCACTCCATGATATTAGGTATCAAAATTCAAAAAGCCATGAATAAAATAAAACTTTCAAAGAAATTTCATTATCTTCGATCTTCCCTATCCTGTCAGAACATGGGGCGATTATGGCTCTCCACATCTTCTTGTTCTTGGTTACTCTTAGTTTATCTTTCTGCTATCTCTCTTTATTCCTGTTCTGCCAACCAAATAAACAATCTCGTTATGTGGGTTATTTGTTGCATTCCTCTGTCTCTCTTGTTTATTGGTATGAACTGAGTGTCAAATTCTCCAATCCCACTTTTCTCATTATGTGCCCTAGAAATTTCAATTGTTTCTTTCTGGTTCTCAGTATAAATCTAAAATATCTGTTTTATTTTTTATAAGTTTCTCCAGCTTTCAATGCCATTAGGGTATAACAGTTTAGTATTCTTTTCTTTGTTTCAAACAAAATTTTCTTGTTTCTTAATATTTTGCTTAGCTTTTGAAAAGTATCTTTCACTATGTCAATGTGCCTTTGGGTTTCAGTGTCGCATTTTCTGTCCTGTGTTAAAACACTTCCTCAATATTTGAATTTTTGTACTTTATTTTGGTGTCTCCAATTGGGGGATCTTTTAGTGAAGATGCACCAACAGTATTTTTAATTGGTTGTATGCTTATGTCCGATATATCTGTTAACAGGATGAATCATGCAGAGGGTGTGCTTAGGAAAACCCTCTAAGCAAATAAACTCATAATCTGGGTGGGGGTGTACCAAGTATGGTTGGTGACTGGTGACAGTTTGGTTCAGAAATTTCAGTAAGTACCCAAGTACTATAATGGTGGTACAAAATAAAGTTTCATATATTTTAGCTAAGAACTCATGTACCAATTTCCTGGTACCCATTTAATTTTCAGAATTTTGCTCAATTTTTAGAATCGAAGGAATCACTTCAAATGTACCTGATGT